CACTTTGTTCTTTGTAGGCTCGGTTAATGAGAATTGAATAAGATAATAGATAATTTTTTTATTTACTTACTATTTAATATTGTCTATTCGAATTTAGTATAATAAAAAAATTGGATGACTTTAATTTTTGTTGACAAGTCGTTCCAACCGACCGACCAACCCAACCCAACCCGATCGATACTTGATTGGGTTGAGTTTCAACCTTTACACGGGTTGTGTTGAGTTAAATTTTGATCAAACCGATCATGTTGGGTTGGATTTGGGTTGAGGCAAAAATCGACCCAATCCAACCCATGCCCATCCCTAGTTGTGGAGGTGGTAGTGGAGGATGGTGGTGGTCGTGGATGAAGCTGGTGGTGTTCGTATGGGTCTTGGCTGCTGTTTTCTTCAAATGGGTCGAACCCTTTTTCATGGATAAGGTAATTCGTTGTCTGGAATAGTGAAGGATGTTTGTTTTTCACAAATTTTTGTTTATTTAGTTACATGCATTAATGTGTAATTTTAACTATTATTGGTTTATGCATGTGTAGATACTGAAGTGTTTGTTTTTTTATTATATGCATTGTAAGAGTATTTTTGGTAAATCAAAGGAGGCAATGATTTGTATCAATTTAGTTTTTCTTTCCTTTTTTAGAATTGGGGGCTTAGAAAATTGCTTTTGATTTTATTGGTTTGTAGTTTAAATCTTGCCTACTCTTTTATACACACAGGCTTTGTCTGCAAATATATAATGCAGTTACTTCTTTTCACTTTTCTTATCTTTTTTCATATTTTGAATGTTTGTTTTACATAGACATGGTTGTTAGTTTATGCATACAACAAATGACCGAATTTTACAATTTTGATGCAAGGAACTTAATTAATGTCAGATGAGCAGAAGTATTACGAAATACTAGAAAGAGTTGGTTGTTGTTACGCATTCTATTTAGCTTGTATAATTTACTAATGTTCTCGATATGACTATATATTACTTGCTTGTCATCTTCTGTTATGTGGATTAGGGGCGGACTCAGGAAGTTTTTCCAGTGCGGGCGATATTAACGAAGGTTTGTTATAATAACATTATAATACAAACATGATACTAAAAATAAAATACTTTACAATTGTTCTTTACGAGTTTTCATACTTTGATATCTTTCTCCACATAAACAATAAGGCTATCATTCATCCACTCGTCTCCAATCCAATTACGCAATTTATCCTTCACAAGAGATTTTCTTTTATAAAATATTTCCATAACTATTTTCACTATAAAATAAAGGGTAATTGGCGCAAAACGTCCCTACCTATAACGGGTTGTGTGGAAAACGTCTCTATGTATGATTTTTTGGTGCATGACGTCCCCACCTTTACATTTTCTTGCGTAAAACGTCATTTTAACCAATTTTTAACATAAAATGACCATTATACCCTCTTTAATAAATAAAACAAAAAAGAAAAGAAAAGAAAAATAAAGAATAAATTGCAATCTAGTCCAAAACATTTTA